ATTGGGACTGGAAGGAAGTCAACTAGCAGGAGCACTAGACAGATATCAGATATAGAAGAACTGAGCCACGTCACAGCTACAGGCCCTGAAGCATGGTGCAAGTAGAGGAAGACACACCCAGGGCTTTACCTCCTTGTATCCTATATCTACTGGGCCTCACGTTGGTATAACTGAAATAACAGAGATCAAGGGAAGAACTGAGTGATAGAGTCTCAGGCCACAGTGAAGGCAAAAGAGATAGAGCATGGGGTGAGGTAAAAGGAAAATAACCAGCACTATTTACATCAGAACACAAGAAATAACCTGATTAGTAAACTGAGCCAGGGTTAAAAAATAAACAGAACACTGTTGTTAAAAGGTAAGGTGGAGAGCCGGGAATTTAGCTCAGTGGTGCTGCCACCTGCCTCACAAGCTCAAGATCCTGAGTCCAATCCCTAGTACAAAAAAATATATATATATGGACAGCACTCATTTTTTGTTTCTTTTTTCTTTTAATTTTAAATTAGACTAGTTGGATTTTGCTTTGAAAGTGCATACCTTAATAACTTCTTTAATAGAGGTACCATCAATTGATCCCCCATTACAAATAATGTATCTCCTTAATATAATGTATCTCATTTTAAAAGTTTTTTTATTGAGACATATTTCCATATGGAATACATTTTGGTAATTTAATATATGAATACAATGTGTAATGATCTCTTCAAATGTTAATCATGTGTATCTGTTGGAAAAATCATCTCTTCTAGTTATTTTGAAACATAGTTATTTTGATCAATAGTTACCATACTATGCTCTAGAAAAAACAGAACTAAATCTCTTCTCTGTGTTTTGGTGGTAGTTATTGAACTTTTCTGTCCCTTCTCCCCTTTTATTTTCCTTTCCCAGGCTCTAGTGACCACTATTCCATTCTGTTGTTTTATAAAATTGACAAATAGTTTTCATGAATAGATGAGAATATGTGGTGTCGCCTCCAGTTTCATCCATGTCACTGCAAATAACAAGATTTTGGTCTTTTATGGCTGAATAATATTCCATTGTGTATATGTGCCCTTTTTTTATCCATTCACTTAATAATGGGCATCTAGGTTGATTCTATAACTTAGCTGCTACGGATAGTGCTGCAGTACACATGAGTACATGTATCTTTTTAGTATCTTTTTGGTTTAATGATATCATATCCTTTGGCTGTATACCCAGTAATGGATTATATGATAGTTCTATTATTAGTTTTTAATAATGCAACTTATTGTTTTTCATAATGGCTGTACAAATTTATATTTCCATCAACAGTGTATGAGTTCCTCTTTCTCTGCATCCTTAACAGCACGGATTGTCTTCTTGATAGCTCCTCTAACTGCAATGAGATATCTCATTTTGACTTTGATTTGCATTTTTCTGATAATTAGTGAGAGTGAGCATTTTTAATGTACAGTACTTCTTGGCCATTTGTATTTCTTTTGATGACTATCTCTTAGTACCTTTACCCATTTTTCTAATTGAGTAGTTCTGTGTTTTTTTTTTGTTTTTTTTTTTTTTCACGTTTAGCTTTTTGAGTTCCTTATGTATTTTGGATACTAAGCCTTTGTCTGATGAATATTTTACAGATATTTTCTCCCATTCTATAGGTTGTCTCTTAATTCTTTTATTTCCTTTGCTGTTCAAAAGGTTCTTACTTTGATATAATACCATTTGTGTTTATTTTTGTTGCCTGTGGCTTTAGGATTTTATCTGAAAAATTATTCCCTGCCCCAATATGTTGAAGTGTCCCCTCTCTATTTTCTTGTTGTAATTTCATAGTTTCATTTACATAGATAACATTTAGGTCTTTGATCAATGTTGAGTTGATTTCAGAATCTCACTTCATCCGTTTTTATGTGCATATGCCATTTTGGGAGCATAATTTTATTGAAGAGACTGTTTTCTCTGCTGTAAGTTCTTGGCACCTTTTTCAAAGATTGGTTGTTTAATGTTCATTAATTTCTGTTTTCTTATTCTGTTTTGACTATGTCTGTTTTTATACCAGTACCATGCTATATTGGTTGCTGTAGCTTTGTGTAGAATGTTTGGACATCAGGTATGTGAGGCCTCCAGGTTTGCTTGTTTGTTTGCTCATGATTGCTTTGGCATTCTGGGTCTTTTTTTGTTTGATATGAATTTAAGAATTTTTTTTGTGTGTGAAGAAAGTCATTGGTATTTTGATGGGGATTACATTGAATTTAGAGATTGTTTTGGGTAGTATGGCCATTTTGACTATTACCTCCTCCAAAACATGGGATATCTTTCCATTTTTTGTAATATAATTTCTTTCATTAGTATTTTATCATTTTTATTGGAGAGATTTTTCACTTCTTAGTTAAAATTATTTCTAAATATTTTGTAGCTCTAGTGAATGAGATTAATTTCTTTTTCACCAAGTTCATTATTGATATATTAAAATGCTGTGCTATTTTTTATATTTTTGTATCTTGCTCCTTTACTGAATTTGCTTTTCAGTGCTAACAGCTCTTTTGATGGAGTATTTAAGTTTCTGTTATAAAATGTTGTCTGCAGACATGGATGGCCGTAATTTATTTCTTTTCCCTAATTTCTCTTGCTAAGATGTCTAGTACTATATTAAATAAGAGTATTGGAAATGGATTTCTTTGTCTTCTTCTCAATCTCAAAGGAAATGCTTATCTTTTTTCCAGTCCATGAGATATTGTCTGTGGACTTTTCATATATAGTCTTTAGTATTTTTAGATATATTCTTCCTACACCTATTTTTTTTTTATCATGAAGGGATGGTAAATCTTACTGAATGTTTTCTTAATCTGTTTAAATGATCATATGGTCTTTGTCCTTTATTCTGTAGATATGTCATATCACACTTATAAGTTTGAGTATATTGAACCACCCTTGAATCTCTGGGACGAACTGTATTTGATCACAGTGTAACATGTACTGTTGAATTTGGTTCGCTGCTGCTTTGAGAATTTCTGCATGTGTTCATCAGGGATACAGATCTATCATTTTCTTTATTGTTATTGTTCATTGGCAATATCATTCCATTCTCTCCAGGCCTGTAAATTTTCTGCTGGATAAATCTACTGTAACTCAAATGGACTTTCCCTTATATGTGACTTGCTCCTTTTTACTTGCTGTTTTCAGGATTCTATCTTGTACTTTTGATGTTATGACTGTAATATGCTTTAGTGAAGATCTATTTTGGTTGAATCTAGTTGGTGTCTGTTTTTGTTTTTGTTTCTCTGGTACTGGGGATTGAACTCAGGGCTTTGTGGTTGTCATGCAGGCACAGTGCCGCCGGCCCTGCTTCTTATATCTGGATGTCTCTATCTTTGAAAATTTGGGAAACTGTCAGCTCTTATTTCATGAAATAAACTTTTAGTGGCTCTGCCCCTTTTCTTCACCTTTGTTTCTTTAGGATCATTATGTTGGATTTATTTTCAGGCATTTCAAATTGTGATCTATTTCTGGAGAATTACTGTTTTCCTTTGGAGGTACCTAGTTCCCTTTCATACTCATTGTGTCCTTATGTTAGTATCTGATACTATATTTGCCTCTTTCAGTTTTATGAAGTAGCATTTGTATGAAGAAATTTTTTCATGTAGATAAGATATAGGATTCATTTGGTAGATGCTTTGGGTTTGGTTATAAGGGAGCTCTAAACTGTAGTCCCTGTGTGATTTTATCTTTCTCTGATATCTGAAGTGTTTCCTGAAGGTAGCTGTATGACTTTATAGTGAGTAGAGGGTTCTAAAAGTATATATCCTCAAGAACCACAGAGTCAGGCTATGGTGATACTGTGGCTCCTGGCAGCAGTTGCTCCTATCTTGGTGGTATAGGATGTGGAGAGGACTGTCCCCAGGATATGCAGGGCAAGTAAATATGATGCCAAGCATTGTATTACTAGAAGCCACCATCCCTGAACCACAGGATATAAAGGAGGGCTTCTTTAGAACTCTCAGGATGAAGGCAGGAGATGCCTAGGCCTGTGGCACCAGCAATCACAGTTCTGAAGTCTCAGGGTGGGATGGGACCTTTCCCAGCCATATAGTACTCATTTAATGAGTATGTTCTAGCATATTTGAAGAAACAGTCATCATATGTATCAATATTCAAGTATTTAGCAATATTTTATTCCAGCTTTCTTTTTGCAAAGACACTTCTAAAACCCCCCAAAATAAAAAAGCATATAAGATTTCTACTTGTAGTTTAATTTTTTCATCCAGTAAATTATGTTAAAGGTCTTCAAAGTTTGTAGATCATGCTCAAGTTCAGGGTAGAATTCAGCCATTATAGGTAATGTCAAAACACATTCTCCTTGATCTGATAGTAGGATGGGCATTCAGGCATTTAGCAGATGGTTGACTTTTGGACCATTCAAGTCTATAAATCAGTAGGTTTACCGCTGTTGTACTAAGCATGACAATTTCTCCTGCAGAGAACACCATGGGAATGCTATGCAGCCTTCTGTCAAGGATGACAGTGGTAGCCATGGCTCTCCTATCAGTGGAAAATTAGAAGGCATCTTCTTCAGCTGCAGCACTGAATTCAATACTGGGAAGCCACCTCAGGATTCACCTTATGGAAGATACAGGTTTGAGATTGCAGCAGAAAAACTTTTTAACCCCAATACTAACTTATACTTTGGGGACTTCTACTGTATGTACACTGCTTATCATTATGTGATTCTTGTTATTGCCCCTGTGGGATCACCAGGAGATGAATTTTGTAAGCAGCGCCTTCCTCAACTAAATTCCAAGGATAATAAATTTTTGACCTGTACAGAAGAAGATGGGATGCTGGTTTACCACCATGCCCAGGATGTCATTTTAGAAGTCATTTACACTGATCCTGTCGATCTTTCTCTGGGCACCGTGGCAGAAATCACTGGTCATCAGCTCATGAGTTTGTCTACTGCAAATGCAAAGAAAGATCCCAGCTGCAAAACCTGTAATATCAGTGTTGGACGTTAACACCCACTCTTCTTATTCTTACCCAGCCCTTTTTCTTCCACTAAGAGCATTGATCCTCTGTTGTCCATTTTCATCATCAAATGTTTTCCACTGAAGCATGCACATGCCGCTATCACCAAAAGCAAACTACCACTTCTCAAATTTCATTCAGAGCTGTTTTCGTGTTTCCTATTCCCCACCCTTTCCACTACTTTCAATGATCAAACATCCTAAGTTCTCCTTCTGACACTTTATTTGCCTAGATGCTGCAATGTTTTTATTTTTCCTATATGCCAAACATAAGAGAATTATATAGAATGCTTTAGCAAAATACAAAATAATGGCTTATAAGTGGTGTTTAAATATGCATTCATTTTAATCTACTGAACAAATATTGGAATAACTCCAAACGCATGAAAGGGTGTAATTGCAGCATGAGTTAAATCTTGAAGCCTAGAATTGTCAGCACTTCCAACTTGTTGTTTGACAGTGTTATTTATGTTATTTATATTAGCTAACAGGAAACAACAACTGTGTTTCAGCATAATAAATATAATAGAAAAATATTTTATTTGTATTGTATAAAATATTTACAATCATATCGAATATGTGGAGTTACATTTTAATAGCAATTGTATACATTGTCATGAAACCATTTCCCTTATCAAAGATGTAATTTGTAAACCTCAAGTAGTTGTGTATCTGTCCTGTTACAAGTGGATGACTTCAATTAAACAAATTTATGAAGGACATTATTCTCATTCATAAAAGTTATAAAATCAGGTAAATACAGAGAAAATAAGTCTCTGAAGTAGTCTCCTTTTGAAATCATCAGTATTCTCAACTATATGAAAATGTGAATTTCTTCAATATCATGCTTAAACATTACAGAAAGTAGAAATACAAACATTATTCATACATGAAAGAAAATGTCAGCCTTTTGCTTGTTTTTAGAAAACAAAATAAACATGTTTTAGTACAAAATAACAAAACAATATACTAAAATTGGTGAAGCAAATAAAATATTCAGGCTTCATTCCCAAGGTATCAGGGCAAACAGTTTCCAGACTTTCATTTTGTACAGAATGAAGAACACAGCTCATGAGAAAGTTTTTTCACTTTATGAAGTATAGACTTTGGGATATTAAGAAAAATGCATATTCCTGATGGAAAAATAGTTATATATTCTTAGTTATAGTAAACAAAAAGATTAGCAATAATACTATGGTCACATTAGATTATATACCGAAGACACATTCTATCCAAAATACCTATTTTAAAATTTTAATACAATATTTTAATATAAACATCTGTCAGTTATAGACAAAGATAATTCGCAAAGTACATGCTGTCAGAATGAACTTTGGTAACCAGAAATGTAAAACCGCAAATAACTGATAAAATAATGTGCTGTTTTTATATTGAACTAAAAAAGCAGTGACACCTTTTAGTATATTTTAGAGTACTGAAAGTCTAACAGAGTTAAGGGACAAGCCAGTAGATGTTATATCACTTGAAATTTCAAATAAATTACTTTCTTACTAGAGGCTTTCCTTGCTATTTGAAAAACAGAATCTCTTTTCCTTTTCTGATTTTTTAAAAAAATCACTCTTTTCCATACATTGACATAAACAATCTTTGGACTCTAAATAAATTTTCCCTAACAAGTAGCCCGAGTGTGTGTCATTTAGATTTATAATATATTAGATTTTTTTGAAATAATTATATTGACTGAATTTTGTCCTTGGCGTGGAAGAAGCCTATTTTTTTTCCCAATGAGATGGTTACCTGTTTGTGTTTTCCCCAGTTAAATTCCTTTTCCTTGTACAGTCTATAAACTTGCTATCCTTTCTTAAAAATAAACTACCACTAAAGTGCTTCCATTTTCAGCATGTCAAAACTACTTAGCGCAAATGGCAATGGAAAATAAGCTTAATTTTTATCTGGGGTGAAAATGATGGTGATTTCCTAAACCTCAAATAGTTTTGGCCACGTCTTGCTTGCTGATGAGGACCTCTAATAGTCTCAGTTTGGCTTTTATGTGCTTGTATTCATAGTACTCATCTGCCATCGGTATCCTATCTTCCTTTTGTGGACTTCTGTAAAGAGAAAATACAATCCATTAGTTCATAAGGAAGCAAGTCATTAAATATCCTTATATGATTTATATATAAAGAAGTACAGAGTAGCAGCTTCCTCTTGGTTTTTGCATTCTCTTCTTTACCTCCCCTTCACCTTCATCCACTCTTTCATGTTTCTGAATAATAATACTGTTTGAGAATATGAATGTCATAGGTCTTTTGCAGATAAATCGTTCTGTGCTTAGACATAACAATGGGCCAAGTGAAAAATCTGAGAAGAAAACAAAGAGCTAGAATCCTCAAGGCCTTCCTTGTCCAGTCATTCTCCCAATACTTGCCATAGTTCCACACTTACACAGTATTTTCAGCCCAAATAGTAAAACTTATTTTTAAAAATATCAACCTGAAAATAAAACAAATTTGATAACACCAGTAACTCATAAATTTATTTTTATAAGAAAAAAACATCATCCAGTCGCTGGCTCTTATAAACTTAAAACATTCCCATGTTTTCTTAAAATTATAATACCTGTTTCTGCCATTGTGTAGAAGAGTCACTGAGCTGTTCCTTAACAGACATAATTTATGAGTCTAAATTACAATAGTCCTCTTCTGCACATGAATTTTACTGACTAGACATATGACATTGCATACATTTTTATACATATGAGTAACTACTGCATGCTCTAACTTTGTCACCAAGTACATTTATGGTGCCTTAAAAGTTTTAGTAATCTATTTGCACAGTCATTTTACCTTATGGATAGTATCAGTAAAATGTCTTAGGAAAGCAAGATTACAGTCCACAAATCCAACCAATTCAACAGTTTGATTTTATTTGTTATAAATTACTACTTTTGAATTTAAATGAAATGAGTCACCACAAGAGGGCAAACAACCTTGTAGCCAAATACTTAAAGGAATATCTGAAGTACTTTTAGGAATTACAGTGCAGTAGAATGCTATATATATATAGAACATATTTAACCTTCTTACTTTTTTTTTTTCTTTTTTTCTCTTGGTACCAGGGATTGAACTCAGGACCTTGCACTTCCGAGGCAGGCGCGGTGCCGCTGAGCTAAATCCCCACCCCACCTCCTTACTTTTTTAGGGTAAACTTCTGGGGTTAAAAACAGATAAAAATATAAACTTATTTAGGGAACTCAAAGTTATGAAAAGAATATATGCATATCTTAAAGTGACTATTTCTCACATGTATTGACTAGATTTAGAATAGTGAAAATAGCTCCCCAAATATTTCCTTGAAGGAGATATTTCCACAGAATGCCCTCAATTTAAAGCAACAGATATCAGGAACTTTAATGTAAGTCACACATATTATAGACCATAGTACAAAGTCACTATTCCAAAGAATGCTTTGCAGGCAAAGTTGCATGAATATTCTATAAAATAAAAATGTGTCCCAAAAGAAAACAAGTCATCCAAATTTAGCATGCTACTGTGCATTAGATTAAGGTTATCAAAAGAAATGTAAGTAAGTTGGGTTTCTAGCAAACTGGAAATGAAGATTCCAGTTGGAAAACTAAGAGGATTACATCAGAATTGCTTTATGCAAAAAGCTTCTCACTTAAATAGGTTCACTCCTAGTGAATACCCCTGGGAACTGAAATGGAAAATGACTAAGAGGTAAGTAGACAAAACTTGAAAGTTTTAAGTTAACTTTAGAAAACAGTTCCTCCCCATTAGAGCAATACTTAGGCTGCTAAACTAAAGGTAGTACAAGAAAGGCAAATACTTAGATAGAGAGCAATACCAATGAGCCAGTATATCATTGATAAATGCTTATGCTCTAAAATCCAAAAGAAGAGTTTAGTCTCATCTTTGCCACTTAATAACCTTGTGACTTTGGCAAAGTTACGCCCTTTTAAAAAAATTTTAAGGCTGATTTCCCACATTACAGCTGTAGCTTGCCAAATTATCCCGAGTCTAATCATTTCAGCTTATAAAAGTAGAAACTCATCCTCAAGACAGCTAAGTGATTTGACTTGATCTCTTTAGAAGCTGATCAATAACCCTTATCTTTTGATTGTATAATTTTGTTGGTGATACACTAAACTTAGCAGAAACTAATGCAATGTATAAGAGGATTTGAGTTGACACAGAAAATTAGAAGACAAATACAGGATATAGCTAAACATTCAAGAGATAGAAAAAAAAACTATGAACTTTTGACCAAATCCTGAAATAAAATAATTAGAGCCAGATCCTGAAGTTTAAAGGAGATATTTAAAGTAAAGGAAAAATTATTATTTAAAAAGTAGGGAACAATTTGTATAACTAAGAATCTAAAAACAAAGAAATTTTATGGACTGGAAAATCAAATATGTTTTTAAAGACTTACATTCAACAGTACAATAAGGTTTATTATGCAAAGTTAGGGATATTTAGAGTACATCCTTTATTTCTTAAAGATTGATGTCATATTTTGTAGTAATAGCTTCCCATATACCATCCCTAATAACAGCACTATCAGAATGTTACATTGGACAAATCCTGAGTCTAAGCCAGTATGGACATAATTTACATCTTGTGTAAAGCTGTTCCCGAAAAAAACATTACAGCACATTCTGAACAGTAGTTTTCTACGAAATAGAAGCTTAAGAAATCTACCCACACTCACCTTCCTGTTTGTTTAAAAAACTGTTCTTCAAATTCTCTTAGGGCTTTCCTTAGTCTCTTCTTGTCAGCCCTAGTTTCTCGGAGATGGTCAAGAAGTACAGGCCTATGTCAGGTAAAATATTTGTCATTAATGAGCACTAGCATTAAGATTGAAAAGTGTTCTGATCATAAACATTTTTTGAGTGAGTATGGCTAACACAGAACTGCCTAGAGGTACAGTCCATAAGCATGGGAAATTACCTGATGGAAACAATGTCATGGGAAAGGAGAACAAGACAGACAGGAAGCAAATGGACTGAGGCTGTGTTAAGCGCTGGTAAGGGTGATGGCGGTATGCAGTTAGGGGGAGGTGCAGCACAAACACTGTGAAGGAGTACTCATCAGTATTTGGTGATGGATTAAACAAGAGACACAAGAGGTAGAAAATGTTAATGAAGATTCTGCCTTTCGAGTATGAGGAGAATGGCAAAATCCTTGGGAATGAAATTAAGACCCTGAAAAAGCTGTAGTTCTATGCCAAATTCTGCTAACTTTGTTCTAGAACCTGTATATGGTTTCAAAAAATCTCTGAACTATGAAATGATATATAGATATTTTCTGAAAAATGATAAGATTTCAAAAGTCATGAATGACTACTTTAGTACAATGATAGATAGATGGATAGATAGATAGATAGATAGATAGATAGATAGATAGATAGAAAGAAGGATTTTCTGCTTCCAGATATGTTAGAATTTCTATTTATAATTTAATACATTTGCCTCAACCCTATTTTGAGACATAAACTCACCAGACTAATAGATGTTAAAGAAGATCTCCTAATCTGGGATGTAAAGTACAAAAATCAAAGAAGGCCATATGATGAAAAGGAATGCCAGTTACCAAATGATGATATTAATAAAAATCCAAATTGATCCTGACTGAAGAGCCAAAAAGTGACAAAGAGCAACTCATTTACTTAAGACAAACGGGATTCCAGATTTGGAGAAACTATCTTATGTAGATGTAATAGAGTAGGATAAAGGCTTTGAGAATTGTTGTGCCATACAGGGGTCTTATCTCCTGTGGGTTTTTGAGGGCCTCACATTGCTCTGTCTCACGCACTGACCAGTGTTAGATCTGTGCCAGAGCCCTGCTGAAAAGAGGTATGATTAAAGCTAATAAGCATTTACATTTGTGACAACTTTAGGAGTTTACTGGGAACTGTGGCTCCTCAGCTATATCCTATACTCCTAGCACCTTTCAGAGTAATAGCCCTTCTAAACTTTTTATGTTCATATAAGGTACCCTAGACATTTTGATCTCTTTTGAGTTAAAAAGAGATTCCACACCTAGGATTCATACTCACATAGTAGCCTCATGTAAATTAGACATGGAGAGAGCGGGCTGTTTTACTTCTTTCTTTTCATCTGGTATCAGGGCCCTAATAGGCTCTGTCTCAGAGTAGGCGAGGTGGTCACCAACAGGAAGGTAAGAACTTGAATCTGGTAAAGGTTGTTGGCTTCCCTGTTGACAGTCTTCATCAGAGTCCTCTTCCTCCTGCTTATCACAGGTAGAGTTAAATAAAGTCACAAAATGTCAAGTACCTCTTGAGAATGGAAAAACAAAAAGGGAGAAGAACCATAAGTAGATACCATGAAAATCAGTAAGACACTCATGTGCCTACTGAGAACCAGGATGGAAGTAACCAAGAGTCTTTTCTCAGTTGCATTTTAAAAAAAGAAAAAGACTGCTGAAGTTAATGAGCAAAAATTCACCAGTGTTGAGCAGGAGTGCTTACCAAGTTGTACTTGGTGGGCCAAAGAAGGTACAAAATTATATGGTCCAGTCTGAACTGCACTGCCTTTTCTCCCTTGTACACAGGTCTTATGGGTTGCAGCTTCATACCAGTGATGTGGTTACAATGAGATATATTACAGAGACCTTGTCATGCAGAATATTCCAAGTCAGGTCCCAGTGCAGGATTTTCAGATATAGAGGATGCTTATAAAGTTGATAAATTTAAAGAAGAGCTCTTTGAAACCAAAACAAAGTGAGGTTGCACCTTAACTTGTTCTGATAATTATCACAATCAAATGATTTTCTTGCAAGGAAATCTGAAAATCCTATCCCACTTTAAATTATGCTTTCTTGTGGGAAAATTTCAAAGACTATGAATTATTATTCTCTTAACATCTTTTAAAACACAAAAGTATAAATTTACTAAAATGTGCTTCAATTTATATTTAACATTTATTCCTTTTTTTTCTGTACCAGGGATAAAACACAGGACCAGGCAGGTGCAGTGCCACTGAGCTACATCCCCAGCCCCCATTTATTCCTTTTCATATTGATATCTTGAACAAGTGACTGTCTTGATACTGACAGAATTGGATTTATTGTATTTTTCTAGTTCTGCATTCCCATAAATCATTCTTTATTAAAAGTAGCCTAACTCAATTTCAGTATTCCTATTTTCTATTGGAATAAATCTATTTATATTTTGCACAATGTGGTCATATGGTGCCAAAACAAATGTTACATTATATCAAGGAATGTACTGTCAATTCTCTTATTAAAAGAGAAAAATCAACCAATATGCAAAAAATCAAGAGGTTCTGTGTTTATCTAGCTGTATTATAAATTACACAAGACCAAACTGAAATCTTATCATTTCTTCTCCTCATATAGGGTACTGAAAGCAAATTTTAAAACTGGCTTCAAACATAGACGTGCTATATTATATATTTCTGTTTCACAATAGTTCTAAATGCCAGTTATTGGGGCTTGGAAAAGCCAAATTTCCACTTTTTGAAATAAAAACTGATATTGTTAGTGATACACATGACCAAGAAAATTACTTTATAACTCTCATAATGCTAACTATGACATTGTGCTAACTGAACATCAATACAAAGTAGGTTACCATTTAATGCAATTATCCTGACTTACAATTGTTGGTATAAGGGAAGGAGTTGACAAGATTTGCTTGATAATTCTGTATCGATCATAAAAGGGCTTTATGAGATTCTTGTCTTGCTTAATTACCTGAAAAACATGAAATAAATTATTGTTCCTTTCTCAGATAAGAATGAAAACATGTCAGTATTCTTAGAAGGCAAAAAAAGAAAGTCTCGAAACCTCTAAGTCTTGGCATTCAGCTGGAACTATCTGTACTGTATGTAGCACAAGCCAATTTTTCTAGGAAAAATTACTTAAAGGATAGATCTAAGTTAGGAAAGGTGAATTTTAAGGCTTTCGGGATGAGTCTGTAAAGCATAAATAGTATGAAAACTCTCCTTTGTGCATTTTTAAACCAACGAGTGATCAAAGTCTATTACTTTTTCTTCCAAAATATCTATTTTATCTGGAATTTCATGACATATTCACAAACACCAATTGTGTATAGGTCTTCATCACTACATACATAGATTGAATACTATCTTTCTTGTTAGCTCTGATATAAACTGTTACTTTGTTCAAAACATTTAACTTTCCTGAATCCTCCATTTCCTATCCAGGCAGCAAAGAGGTTAAAATTACAAAGTTCCTTCCAGGTTGGTTCAAAGGTAGTTATCTCAATTGATTGTCCTAAATTCCTGCATACTAAAAACAATTTATAACTTCTTGGTATACTAATGTGTTTTTTTTCTCCCTCTGCTAAATGGCTCATCCCTAAACACTATTATCAACAGGTCACACTGTTTATAAAAATTTAAATAGGTGTCTGTCTACTTACCTACCTTCCTATCCAAAATGACCAAACTCCTCTTCTTTCCTTTGATTTTTCTCCCCATTGTACCACTGTGTATCCCACATTAATTGGCTACATATTTCATATAAACAGTCTCCCTTTAATTGTAGGCCAATGGTTTGCATTCAGTAGGTAGTGGGAAGGGAAGGGCAGAAATAACTCATAACATCACCCAAGTATCTTTTTTAAAGTACACACACACACAAGAACGCTAAATAGCTCTGCCTTCCAAATGTTCCAGAGAGACTCCTGAGGGAAAAGAAAATGTCATAAGCATGTATTAAGCTTTCCAGTTATACTCATACTACCCTACCCCTATCTAAACTGCAAACCATTCCATACCATATTGATTTTTTTTTCTGAAATTCTCTATGTCATCATTTGTACCATAACTGTTCTGTTTCAGTCTTCTCTGCCAAAATAAATAAAAAATTTCTGGAGGAAACAAATCATATCACATACATTTAAAGTGCTCACAATACTCTATACATCCCCATCTCTACTAACAATTTACCAACATAAGTTTATATGCAAAAAAGGATTCTAATTTTTGACAATCTTTATATATATATTGTATAAGCTATAACCTAAGGCTCTTTCATTTTTATTTTCAGTAGGAAAGCCACCTATTGGTAAAAGCCATTTAAGTATAGGCTAAATAACCTCAAGAACCTCTAATTTTCTGGCCCAATTATTCCTTATACATTTCTGTAGCATAACACATCTTTCCATGCAAAACAAATCCTATCAAAATCTATTCCATGGGATTTTAATAGGCAATAGAGGAAAAAACTCAAAGTTGAGAAAACATTGAAACAATGTCTTTTTTTCAATATCTCGTTGGGACTTATGTTTCACAGAAAAAACTTGAGAAAATGATGCCCTTATTATTGGTCTCTCTTTAGAAATTTGATTTCTATGATTTTGTGTTTAGTATATTCTCCATATTCTAAAAAACTAAAATTAATCCTAATGGAGAAAAAAAGAGTGACCAAAAAGGGAAGTTAGAATGATGACTTCTGTTCTAGAAAAGAATCTTCCACAGACCTACATTAAAATTAGGATACAAGTATAATGTATGTACTCCCCTTTCACTCTGATGATCCTACGATTTTCCTCTTAGGATCGTGACTAAAGCACAGTCTCCAGTGAAAAACATGACGATTCAGTGATCAGCCCAGATGTGTTTCTTGAACACAGAGAAATTTTGCCAGGACTTGATCTCTAAAACTAAAGAGTAATAATTTCCTATCACTTACTGTACAGAGGAGAGAATGTCAGTTTAACTTCTGCCCTTAAGAAAGAGCTCATTTATGGGGATGATTAGAGGGTATGATTTTATTTATAAATTCCTGTGGTTTACTCAAAAAGAATATGTGGCAACAGCTCTCTGGGCAGAAAAGAAAATAAGTACACTGTAAAAGTGCTGGAGTTATTGCAATTTTTTCCCCAAACAACTTTCTGATCAGGATCCAGAAGAACTTGAACTGTCCACTCAGTAGCTATTCTGTCTTGGAAATGCAGTTGTTTTCAGGCTATCAGTCCAGACCTTGATAATTCTGATGACCCAGGATAGGAGACACAGGAGATTTTGTGTGGAAAAGTTGTCAAGCTATTAACAAATCATTTCAATTGTATTCTTTTAAAATTCTACCGTCTTTAATCTCCTCTTGATTTTACTTGAAGGCTCTGGATTCAATCCCCAGTACCAGAAAAACAAAAAAACACTAAAAAACAAAACAAAAGAACAACAAAGAACAAAAAAACAAAAGTAGGAAGTAAGAATTAATATCTTTTTGGATTTATCTGCTTGTACTTACCTTAAAAATATGATAGCCCATTCATACTCTGGATGGCTCTCCCTACCTGTTTTAGTTTACTTAACATGGTTTACTCCATTCACATAACAAAAATCAAAAGTTACTTACATCTCCCATACAGCAACATGTACAATTAGGAAGGAGGGAGAATTCACTTATTTCCAGGATAGTACAATGCCTTATGAGCAGAAGTGATTATCTTTTAAAACAACCACAGATAAAAGGGAAAGGTAATGCTTTAGGATATTTATCAGCTTTAGTATGCACTCTGACTAAGCATCAGTGCGAAAGTAGCAGAATAAAAGTCTTTCCTGAAAAGAAATCGTTCTTTATCATTGAAGTTTTAATGCTTACTGCACTTTTAGCAGTATGCAAGGTTCCCAAATAAAAGTCATCTGTTAATTTGAGTTTAAAGTAATGGGATGTAATGAGATGATCTGAAATTCTACTTAGTGTATTTAAGAGGCAGAAATAAGACTAGCTTCTTGGAAATATATGTTTCCTTTGTTTCTATTGTGGCCCCAGGACTCTTCTCTTAGGACCAGCCTCATGGCTGACTGGTCATCACTACATCATTTACTATGGTAAGCTCTCTCAGAAACAGTGCTGCAGCTTAGTACATGGAAGCTTACATATTCTACTACAGATGTTCTCAATTTAAAGGACCTTAACTTTTACAGAGCTACCAGGTTTTATCTGAAGGGACATCAGACACTTGTTCATTGAAAATAATAGAAATAATTGCCATTTATACAAGGATGATTTTTAAAGCATGCAGAGATTTCCATGAGACCCTCAGACTCTTACTTATATATTCCTATTTAACTTAGATGCCTCAGAAAGACAGCCCACCACCTCAGTTTGCCTGGACCTGAGGCAGCTAAGTGAACTCTTCTCTGAGATTCAGTTTACTCACAGGTAAAATACAGAAGAATCATTGTGACAATAAAAGAGATGGCTGGTGACTGGTGAACAATTATTGATTTGCAAAAAGATGCTAGGCATAAAAAAGGAAGAGGAAAAGTCATGACAGGGTCGCTGCCATGCAGCTCATGTTCTCCTGGGAGTTGGGATACAAGAAATAAATAATAAAATCATTAAAGATTCTGATAAGCACTATGGAGGAAATTAAACAGGTGAAATCACAGAAAATGAGTATGTTTTCTTCCTTAGAAAGTGATTAGGAAGGCCAAAAGGTGACATTAATAAATAAAGTTACCAGGCCTAGAGAGTCACAAGTAAAAGCACTGTAGACAGAATTGCATGCATTGATGCCTTGAAAGAAGGAAGAACCTGCTGTAGACTTGGAATGCTTAGGTCTGAGGGTTGGAACACATAATGGCATAAATAAAATCAAAAGGTAGATTAGGATCCATCCTAGATGACCTTTTAAACTGGGCAGAGAAATATTACTAAATGGTTGTAAGCAGAAAAGTGAAATATGATTCACTTTAAAAGATCTTTGATTACTGTGTAATTATATCATAAGGGGAATGTGTAGAAAAGGGGAAATGAAATGTCTGGCTTGAGCATCAGGTAGCATTGGAGATGGAATGTCCTAGACATACTTAAAGTATACAGTATTTTGGTTAAAATCAAAAGAGCATGTTTAAGCACTGGAAGGGAAAAAGAGAAGAAAAGGAAGACTCTTCAATGAGAATGGGTCCATTTACTAACATTGAAAACTAGAGAGGAACAGATTTTGGAATGGAATAAGAACTTAAGAGGTCTATTTGGTATACATTTGATTTAAGATCTATGAGGAATAGGGTAACCAACCATCTCACTTTGCCTAGGACTGTCCTGGTTTTGGCACTTAGAATACCATGTCCTGAGAAGTAGACAGGATTAGGAAGTAGATAGTCAAGCACTGATACCTGTTCTAAGTCTGCTAAACCAATTCCAATGCTCTACTCACTTCCCTGATAAGTGAATAGCATAGAACTAGGACTTTGTTATTGATCAAGATGCTTTTATAGATGTGGACAAGGTAACTAAAACATAGGAAAAACTGTCAAAGTATTAAAGCATAAAAACAGATATGCTTGGGTGTATGTGTGTATACACAGAAGTTATCCACTGGCTATCCTAAAAGTTTACCATCTCGGATGTGGGAGGGAACACTTTTCCCACATGGGTAACAACCTTATATTCACTATTCATAACATATATTGGTGGTTTTTTAAGTTTAAAGGTATTTCATAATGATAGAGGTGGCCATGGGCCCATTTCTACTTGTATACAATAAGTCCCAAAGTAAAGGACTAGCCCAGTAGCATAATGTGCTCCTTCTGGAATTTGGTATATATGTTGCCATATTTTTAAGACCAATAATGTGCAGCAGAATAGGCAAAAGCATCGTTCTCAAGAAAACTTCATTACAAAGACTTCATTATAAAATTTAATGTATTAATTTGCTCATTCATCTGTCCATTTATTCATTCGGCAAACATGCATTCAATACCTACTATGTACAGACATAGAGTCATGAACAATAAACAGTCTTTCTGTGCAAGAAGTTTAAAGTATAAGAATAGGGAATGACAGATAAGGTAGATATAACTCTCATTTAGGAACTGAAAGGCAACCACAGGAGTCTCAGAGTTGATGGGAAGAAAAGCTTCCCTGTTTTTAACAGAGATGGAAGCATAGATAAGCAGGAGCGGGGATTAGCCAGATAATATACTTTTCCTTCTGAAATACAATAAATCTTTTGTTTAAACTCCAGGCTCAATATAACCTAATGCCTAATTGATAGCTCTCTTTGGTTGTCTCCCAAAGATTTCAAAACTAAGATATCAAAAACCAAGGTCTTTTGTTCCAATCTAACACTCTGCTATAAACCTATTCTTATTATGTGAAATATCAAACCATTTTCCTTACTATTTATGCCTCATCCCTGCATTATTATGTTTTAACATATGAACTCTAAATAGAGCTCTGTCCTTTCAGATGATATACTCATTCCCTAGTCTTGGATTCATTTGCTAATTCAACGGGGGGGGGGGGGGGGGAATAAAGGGATGTGACATATCTTTGTGTCTTTGCCAATTGATTCCTACAAACATGTCATACTATAACCATCAGAACAGCCTCACAACATGGAATCGTGAGGCCACATCCATAGATTATGGCTATTAACTCACCAGGAACTAATCTGATTGAAATTTGGAGCCATTTTCATAAAGATGTTTATGTAGTGGCCACGTGCTCTGACAAAGTGGTGGAAAGCATGATGTCACTGGCACTGTGTGGGGTGTTGGGCCTCTATGATGATAAAATGAGGTACCTTAGACTCCTCCTCAGGAGGGAAGTGCTCTCTCTTCTCCTTTAGGTATGTCCACACAGCATCTGAAGTCTCCTCTCCAGAAGAGCTTGGCTCAGGGCCTGTAGCTTCTGGCTTCCCATTTTCTCTTGGGACAATAGGTTGCTCACAGGACAGGTTTCTCAGAGGGCCTTTAGGAGCACTCCCTTGTTCTTCTGATAGTTTCAGCTTTAGTTCTAAGAGAAATGCCATGAATTACCATGAGCAAAGAGGACTCACTAGACCTAATAAAAACAGAGTCTCAGGGGAATCCCCGCCACCAATGCCAAATTGGTAGAAATGAACAATGCTAAAATGAATTTCTATGGGGCAAGGGCAAGCTCAATAATCATGGACCACATCATAAGCACCCAATCAGGTGTGAAAATGGAGCTCTAGAGACTGGGGTCCTCATGGAGGTGGAGAAGCACGTGTGGTAGAACTCTGGTTTAGATTTTGGTGGAAGAGATCTGGAGGAAGACCAGTGGTACTTGACCCCAGAGTTTCCATTTGTGGTAGCACCTGAAATTCTACACTCCTTTATTGATGTAAGTTTTAGAAGCTGGGACTTTATCAAAAGCCCTTGTGGAAACACAATACTTCTGGAAGGCATTACATAAGCAGGCACCCAAGGAAATACAGGACAGAGTGGGAAAAGGGGGGATGAAAAGATCATCCCCAGCTTGACAGATTTCACAATTTTGTCTAATATCAGCTTTTACAATCTCAAGAATCACCTTTATTGCAATGTGGGTTTATAGAAACTTAAATAATTAAAATTTTAAAAGGCCACTGGGGACTTTTCAGTGAATTACATATCAGAAAATGCTAGGGGACTGATTGTTTGAATGAGGCCATTTATATTGATTTCTCAATTACATAGCTCATTTTCTTTGATTTTTTTTGTTGGACTCTGGCTTGATATTTAAACACTATATATTTTATAAGTGTACTACATCGTTACAGTTTAATACTGCTGAATTAATATTCCTTTCTAATTCTTAATCATTATCCTTCTAGAAATTTGGAAAAATTCCCATGTCTCTGAGTATTGAAATTAGAGTGTGGATGGAGAAAGAAAATAATTTTATTGGTAAACAATGATTGTATTTTAGAGTTAATTAATACACCATCATCCCCAGGGAGGGCCAGCAAAAAAAGGACTGGACTGAGATGCAGGAGAAACAAAATATATAAGCAGCTTACCACCTCCACGCTATGTAACCTTTCCCTCTGGCCATAAACGTCCTCACCTGTGTAATGGGATATGCGAAGTAAATGATTTCTCAGGCCTCTTTTGTTTCTAGTATCTACAGATCCAATAAAAGGAAGGTTAAAGCTCCACAGGTTGAAATGTCCCTAGGTTTGAGTGAATCATTCCACTTGGAGGTTGAAGGTGCTCAGTCTTTGTGTAAGGATGTTTATCAAGAGAGGCTTAACAATGAAAGTGATCCACAGCCATTTGTTTTATGAGGCCTCCAATGGAAGCAGAAAATTGAGTTTAAGAGGGCACAGGTGGAAATGAGTCAAAATGCCCTGGAGAAGATTATTACTATTTTAACTGCATCATTTCTGAGAAAAGAGACCTTTGGCTGGCATTTACCTTTGAGCTGTTTACGACCTTTAGCCAAATCGTTCATCCATTTCAGTACTTCAGGATTAGAAGTCTTGTCACCATGTGAAGGCTACCCAGGGGGTGGGGAGGGATGGAGATGGAAGGAAGGGAAAGAGAGGGAAACAAAAAAAGGAAAAATATAATTTTCAACAACCAAGCCACCCAGATAGTTGCATGAAACTGCAGCTGACAGAGTTACTTCTGGAAAACATCAGACATGCTTGACTTTCTCCACAGTTTTATCCTTGTCATGGGCATTATTCCTAAACATGCTTGGTCACCCAGTATTTTCATATAGTCCTAGCCATGCCAGCATTCCCTACCATCTAACTTTCAATCACCTTGCAGGCTACCCACACCCCACACTCCTGCTCTCAGATCAATGATAATACAAACCATTGCTTCTTCCTTTGCCTGTGGCTCTCATACAAGGCTTTTTAAAAACTGTATATCCTTTTATTGGTACATTGTAGGAATACAACATAATGACATTCATCACTGGAAATATGCAGCTTTACATACTCTCTTGGTTCTTATTTTTTCCCCCTTCCCTTGCCCTCCCTTCAACCCCTCCATCCCTCCCTATTTACAAAGACTTTGTTTCCTTTTTTTCATTTTCTCATATTAACTCCATTCCCTTTCCTTTCCCCTACCCCTCCCACTTCCCCTTCCCCTTTGACCCTTTTCTTACTGTTTCACATTATCTATTATACCTTTTAGTCCTCATTTACACTTTCAATTTCTCACACAGAGAAACTATTTGGTATTTAAACATGCGTGTCCTATTTATTTCACATATGAGTATCGCCTCAATGTGCATCCATTTAGCTAAAATGGCTCATTTCTCGTTCTTTATGGCTGAGTAGTACTCCATTTTATATAAAAAATATATATTATTTATCAAGTATCCAGTTTATGGGCATTTGGGCTGTTTCTAAGTTTTAGCTATTACAAAGTGCTATGCAATGAACATGCTGCCATGAACATGGAGTACATATATCACTGTGGTATGACTCTTTTAATTCTTGGGGGAAGATACCCAGCAGTGGAATAGCAGGGTCAAATGGGACTTCCAGTCCTAGTTCTTTGAGGTATCTCCATACTGATTCCCACAGTGGTTGCACCAGTCTACACTCCCAGCAGCAGTGGAGCAGGGTTCCTCTTTCCCCACAGCCCTGCCAGCATTTGTTATTGGTTGATTTCATGATAGCAGCCATTCTTTGTGGGGTGAGGTGGAATCTCAGCGTTTTCATTTGCATCTCTCCAATGACCAGTGATGTTGAACATTTTTTCATATGTTTATTTGCCATTTCTACTTCTTTGTCTGAGAAATAGCTGTTCATTTCAGATGTCCATTTTTGGAGTGGGTCTTTAAATTTGGGAGGTCTGATCTTTTTAAGTTCTTTATAGATTCCAGATAGTAGACCTTTGTCTGAGGAAAAGCAGGTGAAGATTTTTTCCCACATTGTGGATTGTCTCTTCACACTGCTGGTGGTTTCTCTTGCTGTGCAGAGCCTTTTAATAAGAAGAGATCCCATTTGTTGATCGTTTGTGCTAGTTCACGGGCAACTGAGGTTTTGTTCATAAAATCTTTTCCTACACCAATGTCTTCAAGAGTTGTACCTAACCTCTGTTCCAGCTGATTCAGCATTTCTATTTTAATATTTAGATCTTTAATCCATTTTGATTTTACTTTAATACATGGTGAGAGATATAGGTCTAGTTTTAATCTTTGGCAAGTTGAAGCCCAATTTTTCCAGCACCATTTATTAAAGACGCTATCTTTCCTCCAGTGAGGGTGTTTGGCTCCTTTGTGGAAGATGATGTGGCTGAGTGTGTCTGGAGTTGTTTCTGCATCTTCTAATCTGTTCCACTGGTCCTCAGGTCTGTTTCTTTGCCAGTGCCATGATGTTTTTATCACAGTAGCTTTGTAGTATAGTTTCAAGTTGGGAGTTGTAACACTCCCTGCCATGTCTCTGTTGCCTAGAATTGGTTTTGCTATTCTGGGTCTCTTCCTGTTCCAAATGAATGTTTCGATTGTTTTATCAACATTTGTGAAGTATGCTGCTGGGATTTCAATTGAGATTGCATTGAATCTATATAGCAGTTTTGGAAGTATGGCCATTTTCACTATGTTGATCCTTCCTACCCAGGAGCAAGGGATGGCTTTCCATTTTCTGATATCGTCTTCAATCTCTCTTTTCAGAGTGCTATAGTTTTCAGAGAAGAGGTCTGATTTCTTTTGTTAGGTTGATTCCTAGGTATTTCAGGGTTTTGGATGCTATTGTGAAAGGCATTGTTTGCCCTATTTCTCTCTCAGTGAGTCTGTTGTTCCTGTAGAGGAAAGCTATTGATTTTTTGCATGTTGACCTTATATCCAGCTACTTTACTCAATTTGGTTATTAAGTCTAAAAGACTTTTGGTGGAGTTCTTGGGGTCTTCTATATAGAGTATCATGTCAATGAAAATAATGATAATTTGATTTCTTTATTTCCTATCTTTATTCCTTTTATTTCTTTCTCTTGTCTAATTGCCATGGCTAATGTTTCCAAGGCTATGTTGAACAGGAGTGGTGACAGTGGACATCCTTGTCTTGTTCTTGATTTTAGTGTGAAGGATTTCAGTTTTTGACCATTTAGTATGATACTGGCTATTGGTTTTTCATAGATGGCTTTTATCAGATTGAGTTAGAGACCACGTATTCCATTTTTTTGTAGGGTTTTTATCATAAATGCATGTTGGATTTTTTCAAATGCTTTTTCTGGATCTATTGAGATGATCATATGGTTTTTGTCTTTGGTTCTATTAACGTAGTATATTACATTGATTGATTTGCGTATGTTGAACCATCCCTGCATCCCTGGGATGAACCCCACACTTGGTCAAAGTGTATGATGTTCTTGATGATCTTCTGCATTCTATTTGACAGTATCTTATTAAGGATTTTTGCATCTATGTTCCTTAGTGAAGTTGGCCTATAGTTCTCTTTTTCAGTTGGGTCTTTCTCTGCTTTGGGGATCAAGGTGATGCTTGCTTCCAGGAATGAATTTGGGAGTATTGGTTCCCTTTCAAATTCATTGAAGAGTTTAAACAGTAGTGGCAGTAGTTCCTCTCTTAATGTCTATATAAAGCACTTTTTAACATAACCTTCAGGAGAATGCTAACAAACTGGGACATTTAGCTCCTAACAGCCATATCCTCCAACTTGAATGAAGGAGATGCCAAACCTGACAACAGTGCTGAGAAGTCATCAGTCTGTTAAGGAAATAGCAGATTTCTAATCCTCTCACTGTTTATAGACTCAACCTGCTATTCTAGATAGCATTAAAATTAAACAATCATATTGGTGTGACCTGGAGCAAATTATTTAGCTTCTCTGTATTTCATAGTTTTACCTACTATGTGAAAATTATAAGAGTATGTCCCTCAGAGAGCTGCTATGAGGGATTAATTAATATCTGTGAAGCACTTGAAAATAATTCCAGATGCATACTAACACTGTTTCATTGTTAGCAAGCATTACATATATGACTATTACTGGTTTTATTTTCACTAGTGGAAGCAGTAGTCTAAGTAGTGTTACCACCAGACCTTCAAAGGAATACTGAATGTCTTCATGAACAAATATATGTGGAGGGGAATGCATGTCCCAGGGAGCTATCCACAGCCTGCGTATGGCAAAAATAATATTTATTTTCAATTTTAGAAGGATATGAATCTATCAATACAAGTCTTTCAGTTGAGCACCCCCCTTTTCTTGGAAATGGGGTTTTTCCATGTTGCCCAGGCTGGCCTCAAACAATCCTCCTGCATCAGCCTCCCAATTAGCTGCCATTACATGCATGTGCCACTGTGCCTTTTCACTTGACTTTTGGATTCCTTCTCAGAGCACAAACGTGGACTTTCTATAGAAAAAAACAGATTTTATAAAATGGAGTACTACTCAGCCATAAAGAACAAGAAGCTAGAGACATTTATAGCTAAATGGATGCACACTGAGACCATACTCTTAGGTGAAATAAATAGGACACACATGTGTAAATACCAAATAGTTTCTCTGGTGTGAAAAACTAAAAGTGTAAATAAGATTCAAATTGTATAAATGACAATGTGAAATAGGAAGTCAAGGTCTAAAGGAGTAGGGGAAGTGGGAGGGGTAGGGAAAAGGAAAGAAGGGAAAAGAAAAAATATGAGAAAAGGGAAAAATGGAAACAAAATCTCTGTAAGTAGGGAAGGGTGGAGGGGTTGAAGGGAGGGCAGGGAAATGGGGAAAAAATAAGAACTAAGATACACCGTATAAAGGGACAAGATCCCAAAGAGGAATGCAACTGTATTTTATACCTAAAATGTACCAATAAACTTAATGAAAATTAAAAAATTAAAATTAAAAAAAGAAAAGTTAGAAGCATCGCCAAATATACTTATGCTTTATTCCCACAGATCAGTAAGGACACAGTAATTTAAATGCAGACTCAATACTACTACAGGTTACTACTAGCATATATAAGGAACTTTACAGTAATATTCAAGATGACATGATGATATGTGTATTTTAGGGACTAAATGTAGAGCTCTTTTATGTTTCCTTATGGGGATCCACTAAATCCATGTAACAAGTGGGAGGAATAGGAAGATGGAAAATATGTTCAAGTTTGAAGGAAAAAAACAGTACTTGCATTTCAAGATCATCAAATATACATGGTATTAAGTATGCCCACTGTAGAACACATTGCAAAGCACTGTCAATCCTAGAGCAGTGTAAAAACTACACATTTTAAAATGAAGATGGAAAGAAAATAATGATTCTTAGGGAAGGTTGAACAGTAGACTATGGTTTCCATGAAGTAGCCTCAATTTCAGGACCATGGACAGTACCAAAAGTACTGCTGTGCCCACCTCCAAAAAATAATTTAGTCTAGTCCTACCTACATTCTGCTAGAATGATGCACTGTACTGATTCCCTGGCTTTGAGTAGCAGTCTGGTTAAGTGAAAAGTCAGTGTTTTATATTTTTTTTGAGTCCAGAATTTTCCGCTCTAATCTAAGAATACATCTTGCTGAAGAGTGATTTACTAGGCCTGTCGCACACAGGTAATTCTATATATTTTTAATATGTTTAAAGAAACATTTAAAAACCCCTAAAACCCTAAGCCAGCGATTAACAGAGAAATGTGCTTTTATCACTGCACATAGGATTTCAGAGAAATTTAAGGCTGAATTTTCTGACAAATTAATTTACATCCTAAAATCAGTTTCAGAAAGGAACTTTTTATTTATTTATGCTTAGGGGAGCTTTTAAAAGAGATTAAATCAAGCTTTCATGGATGGCAGCTCCCAAATCAGATGAAAGTTTTCATATACCACCTGGAAAACCTACAAACAACCTTGTTAAAACAAGCCTTTTAAGTTCTGAACTGAAATATTTTGGGTTAATGAACTACAGCGGTCAGACACCTGGAACTTGTATAGTTTAGGTTTACTCAATGCAATTAAAGTGGGGCACCTAAACCACCTAACTGAAGATACCAAAGGAGCAGATGTGTGGTCTGCCAAAGATGGTTCATAAGGCATATTAGAAAGATTTCTGAGGCTGGGGATTTGGCTCAGTGGTTCTGGCGCTTGCCTCACAAGCACAAGGTCCTGAGTACAAGAAAGAAAGAAAGCAAGAAAGAAAGAGAGAGAGAGAGAGAGAGAGAGAGAGAGAGAGAGAGAGAGAGAGAGAGAAAGAAAGATTGATTTCTGGATTGGTAATGATAAGATCTGAGCTGTCTTGACTAGATTAATTCTTTGCTGTGTGATTCTAGGTCATTCACTTCCACTCTCTGGGTCTTAGTTTCTTTCCTTGCCTGATAAGAAAAATGACTAGCTGATCTATTTCAGTTATAACCTCTTCTGATTCCAACTGAAAGTAGACATCTGACTGAGACAGACTTTTCTAAGCACATGAGCATGGTAATCCAATATGTCAGCTGTAGAGAATAAGCAGTTTGGGATAGGGATATAAAATGGTTACATTCAAAAGAGATGCACAGACACCAGAGTAGCACAGAAGCTCAGCAGGAGCTTGGATTCAAAAATTAGCAGTGGGTGCTATTAATTCCACAGTCAAGCTGCCAGGACACAGCAACTAATTAAAGCCCATTGACATACCAAACCTCTCACCACTTCCTGGCACCCTGACAGGGCAAAGGGAAGCCTTAGCTCCTAACACATGTAAGGTTCTGTTTAAGTCAAGGACTCACACAGAAACAGCAGTAAACATGAACCCTTTTCCCTTCCTACCCCTGTATTCTTCTGCATGTGAGTATTTAAGTGTGTGTGTGTTTGTCTCTCTTCTCTAGCTTTAAATGTTCTCTATACAAAGGCAAGAAGTGCCAAAAGAACTGAAATTCTCTTTCAAAATGAATACATGCTGGGTGGCTGTTACACTTGAGAGAAATAACCCAGGATCTGTGGCTGCAGGTAGAAAATTTCCTTTCAGGTTTTTTTTTTTTTTTTTTTGTAACTGGGATCAAACTTGGGACCTTGTGCTTGCGAGGCAGGTGGTGGCACCACTGAGCTAAATCCCCGGCCCCTCCTTTCAGTTTTTGACAAGGCAGAGACTGCCATGGATTAGTTTATTGAAATATTGCTCTAGTGGATTAAAAAATTATTCAGCCAAACACTGAAATAAGTTATACATTTACTCTCTTGTTTAATACCTTCAAACTTAAATCATTACTGATATTACCTCCACTTTACAGATGAACAAACTGAGACTCAGAAACATGAAATAAGAAGTCCAATGTCTGCTAGATTCAAATCCAGAGCACTCTGACTCAATAACTGCCAGGTGGGAAGTGTTAACTGCCCAGTGATGGAGGGTGACTTGTCACTCTAGAGTCCAAAGTGAGGATATCCCAGATGTAATAACACACCAGCAGCAAATTGGAAATCAGTTTCTCTCAGAATAAGTGAAGCTTTCAAAATATAGACACATAAGAATTTTACTTCCACTCCACCACTGTGAAAACTGCTCAGCTTTAAATCACAGCTTCAAGCCTAAGCAGACAGAGCACAACCACCCTAGGCAAGTTACGTCTTCACTGGGCCTTAGTATCCAAGTCTGTAAAACCAGACATAAAGGCCAGACCAATAATGTGTAGAGCTCAGCTCCCTCCTGCTCTAGAAAAGACAGGAAGTATCTATGACTGCCTGACTTTGGGGAAGAGAAAAATCTTCAGCATTCTGAGGTTGCCTTGAAAGTCAACATGATTTTTTATTCTATTTTTCAAGCTAAAAACCACTCCTTAAAGCCATTTATTTAGTGACTTTGAGGCCACACAGGACAGAAATAATGGAAGAGTGGAATAGTATTAGCTCTTAGCTAGCCCTGAACTTATCACAGGTTCACAGGAATTTTCTGATTGCCCCTGTACCAAGTGCTTAGTGAGCCTTTAAATATTTCAAGATGTATGAGAGATTATTCCCTGTTCCCTTTTATTTTAATAACAAGCTGTGCTGGGCCCTCTGCCAAAGAACTAATATCTTTGTGGAATTCTACATGAACAAAATTTTTCTTTATGCTATGCTCACCACAAGAGAAAATAAATAAGAGTAGTACTGGCCATCAAGGCACTTACCTATGACTATTGTTATGTGAGAAAAGACCAGGTCATGTGTGCAGCACCGCCAGAACCAGCTCAAAGACTGGTGTCTCCCTGATGGGAGAGGTTGGATCAATTTGTCCTTATCCATGGCCTAACAGATGTCACTTAGGAATTATCGCCACCCATCAACCAGCAAGTACTTTAATGTCAGAGAAACTAATTCTCCCTTATTATATGCCTCAATTAGAGATTCTGCCCATGAGATCTTCATCAAAATGTAAATGGAAAAGGTTAAAGAAGAGAGACCATAATTCAATAGCTTTCCGAATTTTAATCCTAGAAAAACTAGTGATAGTAAGATTCCTCAAGGGAAAAAGGAGAATGGATAATCAAACAAATTTATAAATAAGTTATAACCATTACTAGGAAACAGGAGAGATAAACTGACAGAATATGAGAACAAGACAAACTAAGAAAAGGAACTCAATCTGGGTCCTTGTTTGGACAGTGGGAAAAAAAAATTGTTCCCTGCCAAAGAGGGGTACCAAAAAAAGGAAAATCCACACCCCCTGACATAATCTGCTTTCACAAGAAACCGTAGAGTCCTTACCCGATACTTCCTTTCTTGCTCAAACTTTTCTTCAAATTTCCGGATTTTCCGCTTGAGACTCTGGATATGCTTGGTGAGCTGGGCAATGGTCTGCGGCTCCTTGCCGTCACCGCAGCTGCACCGTGAGGAACTTCGGGGCCTGCCAGGAGTCCAGGAGGGAGAGAGCATTAAGAATAATAGTCTTGGGCCGGGGATTTAGCTCAGTGGTTTCGCCGCCTGCTGCGCAAGCGCAAAGACCCGAGTTCCATCCCTGGTACCAAAAAAGAATAATAGTCTTGCACTGAACGCAGCTGTTTGGTCTGTAAACTAGGATGGTCTGAAGAGTCTAAAGCACAGCTCATTACCAGATGAGTCTACCCAGTGGTATCTGCTCTTCAGAGGAGCCACCTGATCTCAGTACTGCATTATGGGCAGGATGTCATCAGGGACTTTAACATACAAATATCAGAATATGAGTCCAGGAAATGCATTGCTCACAGCTTAGAGAGGCCAGTTTAAGACTTAGAAGAGACAGAACTGCTGAAGTGTTATCGCCAATAATTGTACCAGCCACGCCTCTCAATAGTTTCAAGGAAGGCATCAAACAAGTAGTTAACTTTTCTTGACACAGCCTTTTCAAATGTGATGAAAGAAATGGCCCCCTTCTCCAGAGAATGCGTATTCCTTCTCACTTGACACACACTGTACATGATAATAATTCATTAAGTCCCACAATTAATCCAGTGGATGGATAGTTGAAGAATGTAGATTTGGATAAATTCAAGAATAACAGCATGAGTTAGGAAGGAGATATGGATTCCCTAAGCATATTTTTACCAATGGAGCCTCAACCCCATTATTCATGGGACCCAAATATAAAGAACACATAGTTCATTCTAATCCTAAATGAAGTGTGTAGGGGAGCAGGAACCTGACTTGAGATAGAGATAGATAGATAATAGGTAGGTAGGTAGATAGATAGATAAATAGGTAGATAATAGATATATGCATACATAGACAGATCTCTATCTAGCTGGAGAGACAGCTATTGTAAGCCACCATTTTTCTAGAACCTAAGATCAAATTGAAGTGGACGATTCCCTGTTGTTCCCACAATCCATCCAGTGATTCCACTGTTGGATATGGAAAAATACTGAGCTAATTAAGAGCAATACTTGTGACATTTACATATACACATACTTAGGATTATGGTTACTCCACCAAAAACATGCAAGCCTTTAGGGCAGCCTGTCTCATGACCATTTCCTCTTGTGGGATTATATGTTGAAGCAGCATTCCCAAGTAGGAAGTACACCAATATCTACCTTATTATTCAAGTCTTACAGGTGCATTTGGCAGATATGTTCACACTACTTCAGAGACATTTCGTTGTAGGTTGTAAATGTGGTATTTGAAAAGCAGCATGAAATAAGATAATAACATAAGATTTTCTTACATCATAAACTGCTGAGTGCTGGGTGGAGAAGGGGCTGACTCAGGGTCTAAGTTGAATCTCTGGCTCTGGCTGAAGATGGAGCATCGAGGTGACAGCAGGGGGTTATCACCATCAGTGATGTGATAGAGCAGCCTGCTGGTTCCCACAGACACATCTTCTGGTGTGCTGTCGGCTTCATTTTGCCCATCTTTGTGGGTTGTCATGGAGTCTGGGGAAGGAAGATAAATGATCAAGTCTTAGAAGTGACAGAAGACTTGAGACTGTCATGTTCCTAAATAAAGATCATAAACATTCATTATAATGGCTTGCCTGTTTGTCATTTCTTCCGTCTGGGGACATAAAAAGCTTTCAAAAATAATGTCATGTTTGGTCTCACAGAGCCTGTATAAAAAATATTACAAAGCCACCACCAACAAAAAATGGAAACAAAGTATTTTGGTATAAGTTATTCAGTCATCATAGCCCTAAATTATGAAACTCCTCCTTATTTCATAGTATTTGTGATATGACCTCTAACATTTGGAGAATGTTACAGTGAAGAAAAAGAAAACAATAAAACAGAGCTGGAGCAAAAGATTACAGATTATTAGGAAGAAAAGGAGAACTGAATTAGCAGTGAAGGAAGGGAGAGAAGAAAGTGGGATGGAGGAGAAGAATAGAAGAAAAGGGGAAGAGAGAGAAGAGTCACTCCAGGGAGAAAATTATCCAGCAGTCTTCAAAACTGATGGAGAACATTGCTTATCAATGTGAAATGCTGTTGAGAAATGCTAAATGGAAACCACAGCTTTCAAAACAAAACGACAATGATCCATTTTACATAGAAAGCATATATTCATATGCACAAATAAGTGTCTTAAATAGTCAAAGAGGTTACACGGTACATAACTACAAAGTAGGTAGAATTAGGAATAATTCTATTTTTCCCCAAAGTGTTATATAACATTTTATTTTAGACAAAATGATAAAATCTACTCCAAATATACTCTCCAGCTAGCCAGTCTGGTGCTTGAATTATCACTATGATCATTCCTCTTTAAAGTTAGCTCATTAGAAGCCGGGTGTGGTGCCATATGTCTGTAAACACAACATGCCAGAGAATGAGGCAGGAAGATTTCAGGTTTGAGGCCAGCTTGGGCTACAGGGTCAGGTCAAAAGGTGGATACCCCTGTGCTGTGGAGGTGAGCGCAGGGAAATGAGGTATGTCACCAGAGAGACGTTAGTACACTGAGGATGGCCAGGATAAGGGTCCCTCGGTCCTGGGTTATTCAAGAATTCAAATGAACACCTCAATTTTTGCCTAGAAAACAAGTCAGGAGAATTTAAGGCTTTCTCTTATGTCTAGAGTACTTCCCTAAAGATAGTAGAAAACAAAGACTTTCTGGGTGAATAAGCAGAACCAGAAAATACTGACAATTCACTTTTCCAAAATAAGCACTTATCACAATTTAGCACCAGATAAATCTTAATCAGATTTAGAATGGCTCCTTGTTCTCTAGAACTTGAAATGTAATTTGCTTTGTGCAACATCAAAGGTCAGGTTAGGTGCTCCTGTGTTTTCAGTTGGCCTCTCCCTGGTGGGTTGTACACTGAGAGGGAAGATGACACCTCCTTTTGTGCCTCTGAAGCCCACTCTGTCAGCAGCTGAGGCCGGTCAGAAATGGATGCGATAAGGGCAGGTCCTAGGCTGCAGTTTGTTGAAAGTCCTGAGGAGTAACAGGAATAAGACTTACTAACCAATAAATCATATCATCAAACCCTTTCCTTAAGCCATCGGACTCTAAGAAGAAATGAATTTTATTCATGTTACCTGTTTTATTTTCAGCATCTTCTGGTAATAAGACTCAGAAGAAATAATCAGAAGAAAATAATCTTTAGCAAGCACCTGGGACCAGAATATGTTTATTAAAGTGAGAGAAGTCTACAGACCTTCAAACTTCAGCTAAGCTGTGGCTCTGGGGTCAAAATTAACATAGTCTCTTGTTGCCGTTTTCTACAAGATGCTCAAAGGTGGCACTTGGGTTCCTAGTACATCATTGCAAAACAGAGGTGGGAAAAGAGCAGGAAACCCATAGACACCTAGGATATAACTTTACAGAATCATAGAAGGCTATGAATGGCTTAAAAAACTATATTGTGATAATAATTGTAAACCTCTATTTACATGGCATCTGTTTTTCATGAGCACTCACATAATTTACCAGTGCTGCCTAATTTACATTCAAACCTCATTTCCCTCCAAGTCACTATTGAAGGAAGCCACAAGCCAGGAAGAGCCCCAAGTAATCACCTGAAAAGCAACAGAGTCAAAAACTGGTAATTTGGTAGAGCCTCCATTCTTAGTCCACTCTCGCCATTTGCATTGAGAAGGCATTTAATTAAATCAGCTGGCATGTGTACTTGTGTGTGCATTTGTGGAGACAGAATCATTGAGCTCTCGGAAAAAGCCAATGCAGATTCAGAGCCAGTGCTCCTGCCACCCTGGGAACAGAGCCCAGGCCATAGCTTCCAGACTCTGCTCCCTAACAGCAGAAGCTTATGGCAATGCTAAACTCAGGTGGCTTCCAATGGTTCTCTGGGGGCACATTATTTTATCTCGCAAAGGAAGGGGAAGCTGGCCAGGACCAAAGGTGTGATGCACCATGGTTTAGGGGAAGGGGCTTGTGAGCCAAGAGGCTGGTCTGCTTTTTCTGTGGGGTTCCAGCCAATTTCTCAACATCTATGGTTGGTTATGTGGCCTGTCTTATTCAAAGGGCTGTGATAAAAACATGAGATCTGCTGTACATGTGCCTTTAGGTAACAATACTCTATTGTACACTAAAAATTGTTAAAATGATAGCTCTCCTGTTGAATGCTGTTCCTGCAACAAAAAGTTCTTCATATTTTCTAAAATTTCTGCAATAAATATATCTTAATTTTATAGAAGGGAAAATAGAAATTAATATAAATTTGGGGGGAAGTATTCTTGGGAAGGAAAGTATTCTTGGGAAGGAAAGTAATAAAATATCTCAGCTGAAGCATAATAGATAGTAAAGATTATATACCTTGAATGCTAGGTCTATAGGCTAAGAGAGACTTTGAAAATGATGGTCCATTTAAACCTCAATTTCTTCATCTGCTAAACATGGAGAATTATGATGCATGCCTCATAAGACTAAAGAAGGATGAAGTAAAAATGTAAACCTATAAAATTTATGTCATATCCACATAAACCTATATTGCATTATGTGTGTATGTAATTTCAACTTGAATTTTTATATCAACTTCATACAAAGTAATGATGACTATGAAGTCATAAATTTGCTTGCTAGTTACATTTTATACTAATATACATTAAAAATTTCTCTTACAATTGATAGTGAGCATCCTTACCTCCCTTATAGAGCATACTTTGTGAAACATTAGGATAAGGCATAGAAACAGGCAAACACAGTGTTCATGAAAACCATCATTTTAATACTGTCAAAATACATTAAATAGTTTCACCTCACAGGAACCTCTATGGAGGTGAATATGAGAAGTGAGATCAATATATCTCAATATCTCATCCCTCCTTATTTATAAGCAAGAATAATAACAATAACTATATTTAATATTTATGGAACAACTAATTTTGTTCTCATACTTATTCTGAGAGTTTTTGCATGTATTTAACCTTCATACCAACAAGGTGAAGCTGTTTTTAAATCGTTTCCACTTTAAATTCAGAAAGGAAGGTTGCATAACTACACTAATGCCATCCAGGAAAGCTTCGACCAGTGCCAGCAGTAGAAGACCAAATCTCTAACACTGGAGGCTGAAGTGTTCCTGTCAGTCCACTCCCTGAGCAGTAGGGAGCTAGAGAAGAGAAATAATTATGATCAGAGTGTGAGGCCAAGACACCACTTCTGATCTGGCTGCAGCTCCAGGAAGAACAGATACTATATTACAGGTGTTAAATGAGTCAAGTCAAATTTAAGAGTTTAACGTTCTAATATGAGTTTTTAAACCAATTCAAAATTTAAATAAATCTCTTTCTGCAAAGATTTAAGAGGGACTGATGAGATTTAACTGAGCAAATTTGTCACTTTGCAGCCCTGGATTTGCCTATCACGGAGGGCTCATAGGAAGTAGTGAGATACATTCCAAAATGCCAAACAGCAGTTTTTGTTGGTTTTAGAAGCTAAATGAGCCAAAATGAGGTTCCAGCATCAGAGTTCTCACTTACCCTGTCTCAGGACAGACAGCAGAGAGGGTGATAATGTCACACACACAAAGAGGGATGCAAAAATAAAAACAACTCCCAAAACATCTGATTATTGATGTATCGTTGGTTCAATTTTAAGTCTGTTAAATTTGAGCATTGAAGGTACTAAGGAACAGTTAGCTTCAGGGCAAGAGAGAACATGAGTAAACTTAAAGTTATCCCAATAACTACTGCTGGGGAAATAGAGGAACCTGCCTGGGTATAGACCACTAAGAGAGGAAAAGCTCATCATTCTGATAGGATGACAGTGGAAGTTAGGGTAGGTAAAAAAGGAGTCTGGGTTGGGCTGGCTGATCTAGCAGGGAGAGGCTAGCACTCCAAGCAGGCTTCTATGTGCCAGCTTCCATGGAGGACCACTAGAAGTATTAGGGAACTGAGGGATGAGAAATCTGTCACCAAGAAAGCAGAACTGGGCTTCATGACAGGGACTCTGCAGGTCCCAAGAGGCAGTTTGCCATCACAAATAAAAGCATGTGCTGTGGGCTCAGACCTAGATGGAAGTCCTACTTCTGTTATCTGTGAAACAATACATGTTACTCGATCTCTTTCAATCTCATTGAATTTGAGAAATTATCAGGGGAAATGGCCAATGAACAACGTCTGATCTCTGAGAATATCTTTTCCCTCCCTGCATTACCAAAATGAAGCCAACTGCTCAGATAACAATCAGGCTGAGCCATGCCCTGTCTGTACTGTGTGGCTGGGGAAAGACTAATCACCTCCTATGATAGTGTCAAGGACCTAGAAGCACCCTGTGGGCGTACAGAGAAAGTAAGGCACTGGCACTGTGGTGCTCATCATTCTTCAGCCTAGTTATTTCCCCAGGTCTTCTAGTTGATCCCTGCACAATTGATCACCTCAGTGGTGCAGCTAATACAAATCTGCTAGTAAGATAACAAGAGCCATTTTCAAAGCAGAGTTCTCATTTATGAGCAGAACTGCTTTGGGAAATGGAAAATAGAATA